TTGGATTTGACGTAATTTTTACTTGTGCAACTTTATTGTCAAAATGTTTTCATACAAAATAAGTGCTTGTGGAAATATTAGTATTCGAAATAGGTTCGGTAGTAACTATTATTTCAGTGGTCATCATTTTAGTTTCGTCATTTTTATTACATATCATTCTAGTTAATTCATCACATACCCATTTATGCGCATTATCAGCATTTTCCTGTAATCCAAACACTGTTTTTTTAAGTCATGAATCTAAAAATGTTGATTTCGCAATTATTTTATTTTTTTCTAAATTACCCAAACGTCTACCAATAATATAAATTAATTTATTTTTAAATTCGTCTCCTATAGTAGTTTCTGTTCTTAAGTTTTTTTAACATATATTCAAAGGTGGGCAAGTTAATAAAAATAATTAACTCGAGTTAAGTTAAAAGAACACAAGATCAATAAGTTTAAAGTTAACAGTTAACAATTCATAAATTTAACTAGATAAGTTACAAGTTAATAAGAAAAAAAAATATTAACTTAACTCAGTTTAAAAAAAGTTTATCTACTTTTTTTATTAGTAAGTAGATCATATAAGTGACTGCGTTCTTTAGAAAGATTTATTTCCTAAATTATAATAAACAATTCTATTGAATTATTTATCATAATACACAGCAGTGGCGCTGAAGAGTTAGAAAAATACTATGACATTGTACAATGTACCAGTGGCGTATTTATGGGGGGAGGGGGTCCGGGCCCCCACCGAAATGAAAAACACCACCATTGTTAAAGATTGTTATTTTTAACATGGATATGTCTTAATGCTTGGTTTTCGAACATTTTTCACGACGCTGAGAATGTTGCTTATGTCATAATTTAAAATTTTATAATTATAAAATATGTTTATTCTTTTAAGAAAATATGTGGTGAATTTTGAGTGACTAATAAAAAATTTGTTTATCACAATGTATACTTTTAAAAAATAATAAATCATTAAAAAAATTAAGTTTCTTATTTCTCTGATGGTGTAAAGACAGTCGAGAAGTTTTAATAAACTAACTAGTTAATGCCCAACTTTGCATATATTGAAGGCCTCGAATTAACGGGATAATTAAAGATAACGTCGGATAATTTTCTCCTGATAATTCCGATGTAATATTTTTAAATGGTTTTAAAATGTTAATGCAATCTGTTATTATCTCCCATTCTGATGCGTTTAAACAATTTGGAGTACGAGAAAAAGACGACATTGAAGCGGTTAAAGGAATTTTAATTTTTATAAGTCTTTCAATCATTGTAAAAGTAGAATACCATCTTGTAGAGATATCTTGCTTGACTTTCAATACAGATAGGTTCATTTGATATTGTAAATCTCTTAAATTACCTGTAGCGTAGCTGCTATGTTTATAATGCATTACTATTGTCCTACATTTTTTTAAAATTTGGCTAATATCAGAATTTCCGTTAATTGCATCATTTACACTTAAGTTGAGTGTATGTGCCACGCATGGATGATGATAATTTTAAAGATGTTCATTTATAGAATTTTTTTATATTTGTCCCATTATCAGATACAATAGTTACTATTTTATTCGTAATAGCTCATTCGTAAGGACAGTAGCAATATTTTGACCAGTATGAGTGTTTTTAACTTCTCTCGTCGCAATAACTGAGAAATGTAAACGATAATTAAACATAAAGTGGCACGTTACTGTAATATAAGATTTATTTGAATCGGAGGTCCACATGTCTGTGGTGACTGATAAATCATTCAAGTATTGATTTTAGTTTAAATATAGCATTATATTCTTGAGGTAGTCATTTTTTTGTTAGAAGTTTTCTACTGGGGACACAATACAGTGGTTGCAATTTTTTTGTATATTCTAAAAACTCTGTGTTCTCTACAATTGAAATTGATTGATAGTCGGAAACAATAATTTTAACCAAATATTTGTCGATCGCCTTAATTTCAGTATCAGATAATTCGTTTTTTGTAGAACCAAAAAGTTTTAGTTGACGAGGTCGTTTAAACGGTGGCTCAGAACACTGTTTTGAAGTTACTGGTTGAGATGGTGAAATAAAAAATGGTGAAGAAGTTGATGGGCCAGATGAATTTTCTATAGTTTGTAATTGATCACTTGGATCATCTTCATTACTAGGAACCAGAGTTGGGCGTTATTCGAATAAAATTTTATTTAGATGATTATTTAGATAACATTTTATTCGAATAATTTATTATTCGAATGATTTTTTCACAATTATTCGAATAAATTATTATTCGACTAATTTACAAATACAATTATTCGAATAAATTATTATTCGACTAATTTTCAAACACAATTATCCGAATAAAAAATTATTTGAATAATTTTTGGAAAAATTTAAAAATATTGTATAATAAAAAACAAATATTGATTTATATAAGAAAGTAAAGAAATATATATATATATATATAATAATATTTGAATATGTGTAGAGCTCTATATATTTGAACTTATAAATATGAAATACAACATTGAATATACGTAGTTAGTACATAGTACGAAAATATCTGAGACTATATAATATAGTACAGAAACTGGACTAAACTAGATATAATAATAACATCTTCAATATTGATAATTAATTACTATAAAGGTAAATACTAAATACATGAACAAACTAGAAGAATTATAATATTTATTATTTATTATTTCATAATACATATTTAGTAATTAGTACTAACTACTACTATAAATACTAAGATAGGATAACTATGTTTAAAAATTATTCAAATAATATTATGATCACAAATTATTCCAATAATATTGTTTCTAAATTAGTCGAATAATTTTTTATTCGAATAATTGTATTTGAAAATCAGTCGAATACATTTTTATTCGAATAATTGTATTTGAAAATTAATCGAATAAATTTTTATTCGAAGAATTGTAAAAAAATCAATCGAATAATTTTTTATTCGAATACATATTTATTCGAATAATTATCTAGATAAAATTTTGCCCAACTCTGCTAGGAACTGTATTAAGTTTGAATGGGTGGGTGCATACGTTTTAAATGCTCAATAATAAACAGTAGAAAAAAAAACAGTTTAAAAATATGAACTTAGTTATATTTACAGTTTATAATGTACTATAGCATACACTTAAATATTGTAAAATAAATTACCTTTATTAGTCGTGTTTCCAAAATATTTAATTTCTTTCTTACACACTCGGCACGCTACAATTTTACCATCAGAACGTTTTTAAAACATTTACAGACAACAGAACGCTGTCTACAGCCCGGCCTCATTTTTAAATACCACTATCAGTGGCACATATACGAGGGGGGGGTCCCGGGTTCAAACCCCCCCCCCCCGGGCCAAAAAAAAAAGAAAAAAGAAAATTGTTTTATTATTGATGACGTGAAATATATTCGTAGTTTCATTATTACGCTTTGAACTTAAAATATACAACTATACAAATATTATAATAATTAAATAATTCTATTGATAGGTGTTTGAAAAGTTTTGTTAAATATGCTGTTTTTATATTCCAATAGCTATTAATTAACTGTAATGTAAAAATAAACTGTAAATTGGTAAAAAATTTGTATAAAATAATATCTATTTATAACAGTTGTTTATCTGGGCAATGAAAAAAAAAAGATGACGATTATTTTTGTTAAACACCTCTCCTCCATGGGCGTAGCTAAAATTTGAATCAGGGAGGGGCAAAAACATAAAATGATTAGTGTTAAACTCGTAATTCAAATAATCTACAGATAGACCATTGGATAACACATAAAACGTCAAAACGATTACACGTGTAGATATCACTTGGTCCCACTAAACTATTTTTAGAATTATATCTTATTTAATTTTTGATTTTAATGTAAAACTTACACGTTTGGTATAAACAAATATAATTCAGTTTGAGGTGCAGGGGTGGGCAAGTGCTCCCCCCTGCCCCACCCTCGCTACACCCATGCACCCCTCCATAGCAAGATTGAATGTACGCAACTGACCACTATTGTTAATTATTATTTAATTAATGAATTAATCACTGTTTAACATAAACTAATTGTTTACATAATAAACATAATTATTGAAATATGGATCATCACTACAGGTTCATCGTAATTTTCAAATTGAAATCAAAGACAAAATACAAAATAAAATAACAACGGACCTAGTAATTCGATGGTTACATAAATAATATATTGCCACATGTGTAAAGTATTTTGAATAACAATGATATAATTTTATTTATAAATGTTCTGAGAAATTTTTGTTTTGTGGTTGAGTTATTCACAAATTACAGCTAAATATTTATGTCAACATTTAAAATATAAATAACTAAGAAAAACCGTATACCCATCAATATTTGTGTAACGACCAGTCCCACGAATAGCATGAGTCGAAAATACAAAGACTTAAAGTCAACAACTATTATTTACTTATCTCATTATGAAGATTAAAAATAATATTCCTCCCTCCCTCCTTCGTTCCATGAAAATCATTCGAAATATTTTTTCATTCGACATACATTTCGAGATTAAGAATTGATTGAGTTATCATTCGAAATAATCTCTCGGTTATATAATCGAATTATTAATTTGATTATCGAGATATCTCGATTGTATATCTCGATTACGCCCATCATTAATTTAAATGTTTCAATATATTATTTAATTAATCAAATAATTAATGTAATTTCATTTTCCACTATAAATTGGAGAATTAAATAAATATTGTTTACTTACTTTATATATCTGTATTTGTGTATTTAATAATAATTAAAAAATTATAATTTTTAGTTGACGGGTTCCACATTCAAAATATTGTGTATATTGCTGACGGAAACGTTCCGTATTGACATTCATACTATCCAAACGGACAAGAACGACACGGTTACAATGGTTACGACACGTCAAAATAGAGTTTTCGATAAATGCTGCCGTTCCGTGACGTTGCGTAACGTTGCGGTGTATATGAACATGGCGGTATAAATACTTAGAAAGATATTTTGACGTGACGTTGCCGGTCTGTGACGTGATGACATTCCGTATAGTGCGAATCGACCTAAACTCACTTAGTACCTACTTGGACTTACAGCTTAAAAGAATATTATTATTTAAAATTAGTATTCATAAATCAATTAATATAAATATTTTGATTTATTTTAAATTGGGTAATAAAGATATTTAAATTATTTTCGGCTGGTCATATTGTATGCTTCTGATAGTGCACTATCACCTTTTCTGATACGAATTTGGTTGTGATTCGTTAGACTCATGAGCTTGAATTTAAATATTGCCGGTTAATATTCACGAAGCTTTCAATTATAATGATCGAACCAGAACTGTTTAATTTTAAACCAACCACAAAGAAACACATGTATGTAAAGAAAAGTTGGGATAAAATAATAGAAAATATTGACGAATATGGACTGACTCACTCTGTAAGTGATATTTTTATTTTCTGTCCCATTAATTAATCTACTTTGGTGTCTTACATATGATTATGATCAATTTTGTTATTGTAGATGACTGTTGTTTTGCCTGACACTCTTTTCATTCCGAACTATGTTGAAAGTATGTTTTCTGAAAATGGTTATTATTATTTAATCAAAGATGTCACTCTATGTTCCTTAATAGATGAAGGATTCATTACATCTTTTGTGAAAAATGGTATTATTATTATTATTATTATTTATGAGTAAGATAACTTGTTTAATAATTTATAAGTATTTCTATGTAGTGTAAAAATGAACAGTATTCAGTAATATTTTTTGGACATTAAGATTAATGCATTTTTTTTTTTTTTTAATTTTTTACTAGGTACTTATAATATTTTTATTTTAAATATCCAATTACAAGTTTAATATTTTATTTAAAAATGCCAATAATAACTAATGAAAATTTAACTGAGTAGATTTCTTGTTGATTATTTATAATTTTTATAGTTAAAACTATATAATAGTTATTGATTGAAAAATGGTCTATTTTCTACTGAATGGTATATATATATCTTGTAAATTGATGGATATCAAATTATAATTATGTATAAATCATTAAATCATTTTTAAATTTTTGGTGATACCCAAAGTAGGTTACATTTGTTATTTTGAATCGGCAATACACCTACCACCTGGAAACTTAGTTAGGTAATACTTAAGGTGATGGGTCAACATTTGTTAGTCTACATAAACACAGCATGATGTGTTCCTTTAAGTTATGTGATAAAATGTAAAACATAATTATTTATTTTATACTTATTTGTTTTATTTAGAAAATTAAATTTATTTTGATTTGAAAGTTTTAAGTTAACAATTCATTCTTTGTTTTTCTGTTGGTTTATTTTGGATTTTAAATTGTTGTTGGATGCTATTTGTGACTCTTACTTATATATTATTATTTTTTAGGTAATGTTTATGCAATATCTTTGGATACTGATCTTGAAGTCGATGATTGTATTTCAATTACAAACAATAATTTATTAAGAATGTCTTTAATTGAATCATCTTACCAGAACATATGTTTACCAGTAAAAGATTCAAGTGAATACAATTCAAATATCTAATAAATTTACATGTTAAATATGATTTTTTAATTAAATAAGTAATTTAAAAAATGTAATAATTATGTTTTACCCAATATTATATTGCTTGTTTATAGAAATTACATTGGATTTAAAAGAACTTAAATTTAATAGCAAATATTTTCAGCGTATTAAAGAGTGTTTTCAACGGTTTCCAATAAAATTTGACTTGCTTATTTGTTGGGAATCTAATGGTAAGCAATTTTTTTCTTTTTTACAATGTCTATTATAGTATTTAAATTTATTTCAGATGATAATGTGTGTCCTTCATCAATAGCTTCATACTTTAACAAAAAAGGATTTAAATGTCAGGAATGTTTTCCTCGATCAACGACAACTAGAAAATATAATATAACTATACCTACAGGCAAGGATACAACACTTCTTGATACATGGTTGTCATACTATTGTTTAGGTATAAAAATGTAAGATACAGTTTTTTTTTTATTGATATTGAATTTATTATTTTAATGATTCTCAATATATTATATAACTATTTTCTAAAAAAAAAAAATAACCCCCATGCAATAACAATTAACTATATATTTTTTTTTTTTTTTAGTGATGATGGAGAACCTTGTATATTACCCAACGGAAAATTAACAAAATCAGATTCTCACAATGTTGGTCAAGTTACTCAAATTATCTGGACTGGATTTTTTAATAATGATAAAGTAAAACTCTTATTTGAAACGTTTAGGTAAATATTTGTAAATTTTAGCTTTTGCGATATTCAACCTGTAAATTATTAAATAATGGTTATATATAATTATTATGAATTGCAGAAACTTTATGGAAAAAGAAGGAAAATCATATTGGATAGCAATACATTTGGAGCCTTTTTTAAACTCTCCTTATCCTTGTGTTCATCGAACATTTTTGTTGAATCCTGAAGATCAATATTATGTTTCTTATTGTACGAATAGCAAAAAATGTTAAATTTGAATTTATTAAATAGGTAATAGACGTCTTTATTAGTCTGATATCATTGTACATATTATCATGAAATAAAAATTGATGTTTTTTGATAGTGGTATTTTGATTTTTGATAACTGTTATCAAATGTGTTTAAAATAAAACGTATGGATTCGTGTACAAATTTATTGTGGTTAAACGATTGTCTTGATTTTTTTATTTAAAAATGCCTTTAATATTAATGGTTGGTTTTCCAAGTAGTGGAAAAACAACTAGAGCTCGTGAAATTCAAAAATACTTTGCAGAAAATCAGCAGAGAAATGTAGTACTAATATCTGATAATGAAATTATTTCTCAAATGAACATAGACAAAAATGCATTATTTTTAGGTAAGTACATACTTTATTTTAGTTGAATTTGTAATATTTTTTATAGATAAAATGTTAGGAAAATGATCTAAATTGTTTTGATATTTAAATGCTATTTGTTATAATATTATTTCATTGTTTAGATATAATTTTGTGTACAGTATTGTATTACATTTCATTTTAGCATTCTTAGAACCTAAAAAATTGTTGAAGATATGTGATAAAATATGATTCACTTTTGAAATATGAACGGGGTTTAATTTAACCAATTAGAGATTTTATTACTTTAAAATATGTGTACTTTTATTGGTGTGTTTAAGACATGTAGCTAAGCTTATTAAAATTATATAAGTACAACCTAGAAAACTACTAAATTACTCAACTATAGAATTTCTATATGAAAACTTTCTTACTGTGGTAAAATGTATTGCTCATTTTTATCCATACATATATTTAATAATATGTTAAATTTATATTTATAAACTTAATTCTACTAAGATTATTATTTTCAGAAATGAAAAAAGAAAAAGAACTTCGATCAAAATTGCATTCTGATGCCTTGAAGTTAGTTTATGAATTCTTTGTAATTTATATTTGATTTTAATTTCTGAACATCTTATTAATATTGTAACTTTTTGTAGGAGTTTGACAAAAGAAAATGTTGTAATATTAGATTCTGGAAATTTCATTAAAGGGTTGTTGTTTATTACTTAAGATTTAGTCTATTACTGTATTGCTTTGAATTTGATATTTATGTAATTGGGTATTAATAATTTATTAAAATAATATATTTATCAGGGTTTAGGTATGAATTGTACTGTTCTTCTAAGAGTTTAAGCACACCTAAATGTTTAGTTGTTTGTGACATTTCACCTACTAGAGCTTGGGAGCTAAATGAAAGCAGAGCGGAAAATGAAAAATATATTAGAAAAACATTTGATGATCTTGTTATGAGATATGAAGAACCAAATCATTCAAATAGGTGATTAAAATTAACACAAATTAATTTAACCAAGATTAAAATCCCATTGAATTTCTTTTCATTCAAATTAACTGATTTATGTAGATGGGATTCACCCTTGATAAATTTACAATTAGATGATACACTGCCTGCTGAAGACATCCGAAAAGCAATTTTTGAAGTTGCTGCTCCCACTCCTAATCAATCAACAATAAATGTAAGAATATCTCTTGGTAGTTCAATAAATATTTAACTTATAGAATTCAATTTTGCAAAATATTTTAATTTTACCATTAATTTATTGATTAATTTATTAATCAAGTTATTATTATCAGAAATTCTATAACTATTTATATTTAATATTTTAGTAATTATGAAATGCTAATTATATTTTGTTTAAAATGAAACTGTTCAAGAAAACTGTAGCTTAATAATATAATATTGAGTATTCAACAAAATGTAAATTTTGTAATGTCTTATATGAATTTATATTTTCAACAGGCTCCTTTAAATTCAAGTTCATATTTATATGATTTAGATAAAAAAACACAAGAAGTAATTAATGTGAGTTCAAAAAATATTTTTCTTTTATTTTTATAAATAACTCATATCCAACATAATTTATTCTGGTACATTATAAATGTTGAATTTATGAAATCATTGTATTAAAACTAAAATGTTGTTTCTATCTGTATGTTTTAGTCAATAATACAGTTAAAAAAACAAGGTGTTGAAGGAGAAAACATTGAACTAACAGATTATGAAGGGAAATATTTGACCAAGTTGGATAAGAATGTTTCAATGTTGCAGCTTGTCAAGTCTAGGAAACAATTTTTATCATATGCTAAAAGTCATGCATCAACCACTAACGACCAATCAAATATAGTTACTATGTTTATACAGTTTCTGAATAATACTGTTACATGTTGAACAACATGAAAAGTATTTATTATTTTTACTAATGTGTAACTATTATTCTAATATTAATGTTATTAATTAATTAATAATGTTATTTATCCTGTAAATGTTTTAATGTATTAGTTTTATCCACTCTAATTTACTATACAAACATTTTAAATGTACTTTTTTTAATAAACCTTACTTATAAAATGTATATGATGCCATTGCTTGTAAAAAGTAAATGTTCATAAATCTAAATTTTTCTTTAATTAATCGTACAGCTGTAGGCAATTATTGTATGTACTATACATTTCACATAACAATGCATTAACAATATTAATCTAATCACACATTTATATTTATTTATATAAGTAATTTATTAAATATTTAGTATTTTATTAAGATTATATTTTAAACTTAAGACTAGGCAGAGATTGAATGTTATAATAGAAAAAAAACCAATCCATTGCTAGATATAGGAGTGACATTGGATAGGGAGAGATGGAAAGGCTTTCTTAGAGTGGTGATGGTCTTGAATGAACTAATAATTCTATAAAGAAGAAGATATTCTAAATTTACAATTTAAAATTTAAAAGTCTTTCTTTTCTGTTGGCAAAAGAATCTCTTGATTCTGTCTAAATCTACCTATATCTCTGTGTACATTTATTAGTGTTAGGCCATTCTATCTTCAAAAGTTGAATTTCTTAGGTGAATTGTTATACGCATTAGAGTTGAAAAGCTTCTTTCAACCGTAGCGGTTGCAATTGATGGCAATATTGAAAAAATGTCAACATTGTACATGTATTAGGAAAAAGAGTAGAGCCCTTAAATGAAAACATTTTGCGAAGAAGTAAGGGTCGCATGTGCCTTTTGTCTGGGGCACTGAAATATTGAGTACATTTATTATCAAATCCAGAATGGCAGTACCCATCACAAAATGTTGAAGGTTCAATTGTTCCAAAATAACATTTACGTCTCGCCATTGCCCTGCGTTGTTGCTCGTAACGCATCCGCCGGTGAGTACACCTATTAAAATTGATTAAATATGCGTATACGTATAATATTTGATAAACGCTGTTACATGAGCAGGATACGGGTGTCATGGATTTTGGTAAAAGTCCCCCCCCTCCGGATCGTTCCAATTGAAACGTTTTACGTCGTTCCCGGTTGATGTGCGCACCGTTTACCATCTCTACTGGGTCCCTCACTCACCACCTGTTGACCGCGTACCCGATGATCACCGTCCGACAGCGATACGCGCGCGCATATCAGTTTCCGGCGTTATCACCGGGACCACCATTCGCGGACAGTTAAGTAGCAGCGTCGACGGTCGGTTATTACTCCGACTGTGATTTTTCACATCCGAGTTCGAACTGCTGCACGGGTAGTGCCGTCGTTGCTCATCACCGTTTGTCGGCCCAGTCGAAAAGGATTCGGTTACGTGTCCGAGTGGGAGTGTTGTGTCACCGCTGGAAAAAATGTTCCGGTCTAACGTATTAAAAGTAAGTGGATTGGTTTTCCGTTCGGTGTCCGTACTTACGTTTAAACACCTCTATCGCATTTTTCATAAAAATCCGTACTACGCTTTTTGTACAATTATATGATACATAGTCCCTCTCCAGCCCATTTCCATACGATTACAGTTTTCAGTAATAATCCTTTTTTATTGATCAAATTGTACATTCTAATTAGGTAACTACCAATCTATTATTATTTTTTAAATTGAAAACATACTTTTGTCAGACATGAATCTGACTACTATTTACAAATTATTTATTTGAAGGATATATGATTTTAAATGAAATAGGTATATTGAAGTCCTCGTCTGCCGTCTTGCTTTAACTGGCTTCATCAAAAACATCTTTATAGTAGTCTTATTTATTAGTATTTATTAGGTACATATTTTTCAATCCGTAGTGTATACTTCCAATTTCTGATTACACATTTTGAGTCGGGGTTCACTAAAAAAATAGGGACTGCTCTATCGACAGGTTGACAAATTTAGTCTAGGTCTCGTGTCAACTGCATATTATACTGTAAATTGTTACAGTGCCATTTTTTTCGATAAAATAATGTTCAAGTTGTTGGTTACCTGTCTAACTTTTTATTTTTTTTATTTTTAATACTGTTAATATATCGGAACAAACTAAATAACTAACTATATCATATGATTTTTAAACACTTTATACTGCAGTATTATCTGTGATTAGTGCTCGTGAAAAACTTTGAAAGGTTTGGTATTTCTGACCTCAAAACAAATATCCAATACTTGAAATGATTATTAGCATATAATGTTTGTTAGCTGTTTACCATATTTTTTTATATCCTTGTAAGAATTGAATTAATTTAAATAATTTGATAAAATTACCTAAGATCAATCTCTGACTGTTTTTTTTTAACTTTCATTATACAGTTTTAATTTAATTTAATTTTTAACCACTGACGTAATTTGGTATTATAATTCCCCTGATAATAATATGTATGTACATTTTACCACTTGACATTTACTGCTAGATAGTACATTAATTACCTAAAGGTTTATTACAGAAGTTATTGATAAACAAATATAAGGTTTTGTATTTTCACTGTGATATACTAAAAAGTGTATTTCTTATTATAATCCTATTTATTTAAAATTAAAAAAAAGTTCAACTAAAGTGTATATTTAAATATTACATATGTATGTTAACTTGGAAAATTAATTCCTCTAATATATATTATTTTATTAGGTTGAAGTAATTGAAATATAATTGTATTATATTTGATCATCTACAAATTCTACCAATGGTTAATAACTAAAAATAAATACGTTTTTGAAATAAATTTAAAGTACATTAGTTAACATTAATCTTAAATTGTCAATGAATAGAAAAAAGTTTTAATTTATGTTATAAATTATAGTTGCTAATTAGTTAATAGAATTAATGAAGTATAACCCAACATAATTTTTTTTTCTTTATTTGACCATTAGCATATATTCGTTTAAAGATTTCTATAATATCATAAAGGAACTATAATTAATCATAACTCATATAACTGTTTATCTAATCTAAGATCATAGGTTATTAATATTCAAATGTTTCAGTATCAATCTTATTAATATTTTAGTAATATATTTAAATTGGTCTCTTTTTCAGAAAAACGTGTTTCAACAAGCAATTAGATCCAATGCAACATGCGGTGCTATTCCAAAAGTTCCAATGTACATAGATGGGAAATTTGTGGAATCAAAAACAAATGATTGGATCGACGTCCATAATCCTGCTACAAATGAAGTAAGCTCAATATTTTTGTTATCCAATTATTTAAGAAGTAAAAATAAATTTGCATGATAATATAATTTTTTTCTATCTATATTAGGTCATCTCTAGAGTACCGAAATGCACCCTGGATGAAATGGAACATGCTGTAGAATCGTCCAAAGTAGCTTTTAAATCATGGTCCAAAACTTCTGTGATGAGAAGACAACAAATAATGTTTCGTTATCAAGAAATTATTAAAGCTAACATAGTAAATTAATTTTTTTAAGATTTGAGTTGTTGTTTAAAGAGTTGTTTATTGTATTTCAGAAAAAATTGGCAGAAAACATTACTAAAGAACAAGGAAAAACACTGATTGATGCAGAAGGAGATGTAACTCGTGGACTCCGTAAGATTTATTATGTTATTTACTTTATACTTGTACTTTTTTATAGAACTATGTATAATTGTTTTTATTTTTTTTTTAGAGGTTGTTGAGAACTGCTGTAACTTTACTAGTTCAATCATGGGTGAATCATTACCACTGGTAGCTACTGACATGGATATACATTCCTATCGTGAGCCTCTCGGTGTTACAGCTGGTATTGCGCCATTCAATTTCCCAGCTATGATACCTTTGTGGATGTTTCCCGTTTCTATTTCTTGTGGAAACACATTTGTTATTAAAGTGAATAATTGAATTATTATTAGATTAATTTAAATTGATTGAGATATCAAATGTTATAATTTGTTACAAAACTTTAACAATTACAGTCGAGTTGCTATTACTTGAAGTTAAAGGGGGATAAAAATTCACTTTGAGATATGTATTATTCGAGAAATCTAACTAATTTATAGGGGAAAAATTTTCTAGAGAAATAAAACACTATTCGAGTTGTAAAGTTTTTCGTGTTATTGAGGACTGAGTTATCGTGATTTGACTGTAATTGTAATTTTTGATTGCAATTGTAGTAATTACAATTTTTTATGTTTAAATACTTTTTTATGTAAGTTTTTAATTATTAAAAATTTGCATAAATGTTTCTTTATAAACAATTTTAGCCTTCTGAAAGAGTGCCTGGTAATTGTATGATGCTTGTTGAAATGTTGTCGGAAGCTGGCTGCCCACCTGGTGTTGTTAACATTATTCATGGTAGTGTGGACACTGTGAATTTTATTTGTGATGCTCCAGCTATTAAAGCAATTTCATTTGTTGGTGCAAATACGGCGGTAATTTAATATTTAGTTAAATTATGTAATAGAATTATTTAGATGTGATTTTATTTTATGTTTCTATTGAGTAGGGAGAACACATATTCAGCCGAGGTTCTAAAAATGGTAAAAGAGTTCAAAGTAATATGGGTGCCAAAAATCATGGTATCATTATGCCAGACGCTAACAAGACTAGCATGCTGAATTCATTAGTTGGAGCTGCATTTGGAGCAGCTGGACAACGGTGTATGGCATTAAGTACTGCTGTGTTTGTCGGTGAAGCCAAAAATTGGCTTCCTGAGTTGAAGAGTCGTGCTGAAAATTTAAATGTCAATGCTGGTAAGTGAATTAAAAGTTACTCATATTTTCATTAAGTTTTTTTATATTATCTAATGAAATTATTTGTATATAAATTATATTAAATTATTTTTATTATTAAGGACACCTACCAAATACTGATGTTGGTCCTGTCATATCTCCTGAAGCAAAACAAAAAATTATTAACTTAATTCAATCAGGTATTGATGAAGGAGCTAAGATAATTTTGGACGGTAGAAACATTAGTGTTCCTGGATATGAAAATGGAAATTTTGTGGGACCCACAATTCTCACAGATGTTAAGGTATCACTGTAGCACATTTTTAATTTGTTGTTGCATTTAATTTTTATTATTTTTATTTTTGAAATTAGCCACATATGAGATGTTATAAAGAAGAAATATTTGGACCAGTATTAGTGTGTTTGACTGCAGATACTTTAGATGAAGCAATAGACATAATCAATTCAAATCCATATGGTAATGGTACTGCTATTTTCACTACAAATGGTGCAACAGCAAGAAAGTTCACTCATGAAGTCCAATGTGGCAATGTAAGCATGTTGTTTATTTTTTTGGGATTTAGTTTTAATTATTTATTTATCTTTTATGTAGGTTGGAATCAATGTTCCCATCCCTGTACCTTTGCCTATGTTTTCCTTTACTGGTACACGAGCTTCATTCTTGGGACAAAATCATTTCTATGGAAAACAAGTATGTGCTATTGATGTTGAATTAATGTTTTTCTACCATGTATATATTTTTTACTTATTCTAAATTTTTCTAGGGTTATCATTTCTTTACGGAATTGAAAACTGTGACTCAACTTTGGAAAGAATCTGATGCTACTGACACAAAAGCGGCTGTTTCTATGCCTGTGATGCGATGAATACTTTAAAACAAGGCTGATATTTTACCAATCATAAATTATAATATATTATTGTTATTTTTGTTAAAGATTTTTCAATTAAATACATATATAAGAGGTGATGTTCTAAAATACACTGATGCCACATTTAAAAGATTGACTTATACATTGTTTTTTATTAAAAATTTACAAGAAATTGTTTTGTGTCATCAGAATAACTGTAAGACTGATTTCTTTTTCCCTTAACAAAATTAAAAAAAAAAAAAAAAAATGTGAAATAATACTAAGTTAATTCAAAAACTGTTATTTATATCTATTTCAGTATATTAGTAATTAAAGTGGAAAAGAAAATGTTTTCATTAGTGAACTATTTCCATAACTGTTTAACTTAATCCTTGATATTTTGAACTTTAAAATGATAACTCAATCAAATTTTGAGTAAGGTAAGATTGTTAAAAATATGTGTATCTGAATAATGATGTATGTGATTTTTACTTTTATTAAATGATAATGTTTCAAAACTGAAATAATAAAACATTAGTGTATTATTATTAGCTTTATCAAATTAATGATTATTATTATAAAAATAATTAAATAATCATTAAACTTATACAGTATAATTCATATAATTAACTACAGTGTAGAACATGGTTAAGTTGTCTAAACCAAACATAGTTTAGGTTATGCCTAACATGTTTGTAGTGATTGTCATTACCTACCTTTTGCAGTTATTGTTAGATGACTAAACCTATAAGTGATAATTATAATATCGTTTTAATTATTTTTTACAAAAACAATACTTTTATATTTTTAATTTAATTTGATATTTTCATTTCTAACTAATATACATTATTTATATATTACAACTGATTAAATTTTTTGCTTTTTGTATGTTTCATATATTACTAGATGAATATTTCGGTTTTGTTTGTGGTTTAATATTATTTAAATATTTTTATTTTATAGGCTATTAAGTGTAATCTTCTTGTCCATCAGTTCTATCCTCTGACAAAAATGGGAAAATTAACAATACTATGTAGATTATAGGCATATGTTTATTACACTTTTTTGTAGACAAACTATTATCTTTTCTTAAAATCATAGTGTAGCTATCAGACTAACGGACTTTGCATAGCATTTTAAAAAATTAATTTTTAACAAATAGAGTTTGTGAACAGTGTATTTTTGTTTAGCGAATTAAAAACAGCTCCTCGATTTGCACATGCATTTTTTTATTATTATTGTTTATTATTACACTATTTAAAGCCAAGCCATGTAATATAGTAATTTGTATAATTTAACTTAATTTATGATACTTAAAAATGATTCTATACTCAGTATAGTATATTAATCATTTGAGCTCAGAAGTTGTAGGAGTTGCATATTTTTCTGTATACTCTCAATTTATAGCAGACCAAGCTAAAAATCTGTTCCATACAAAAACGAGTTTAAATACAATTATTAAAAATGCATTTTTTCGCATATTTTGGCAATTTTAGAAGAAAGTGCATATTTCTTAATTTTCATGAGATTTTTATGCCTGTGTTATATTTTCTAAACGATTTGAAGTTTTATTTTATTTTCGACTAGTTAACTTACTAGTCGCCATACCTTACCGTCGTTATATCAATTTAATTTAACGGAGTGTATTTATCTTTATAGCACTAAGGTGAACACTATATAATATCGACGTTATCGTTAATCTAATAGCAATATGGCAAGTGTATTATTAATACTAATATTATATACAATTATACATTCATCAACTTCATCGGATGTTGAAAGAAGTTTTTCGCGCTACAAATATATACTTTCAGACAATCGTCGTTCGTTTGATATGGAAAATATAAAGAAAGTTCTGATTGTTCAATGCAATACGTTTACAGGTATGACAGTTATGTATGTTTATTGGATTAATAACAAATAAATATAATTTTTCAAATAACTTTCATTCTGTTTTTTTTAGATTGAAAAAATTACAATGCATAAAAATCACCCAAAAAATTTTGAATTTAATAAAAACATATAAAAAATTTGTTTTATATACTTAGTACATTTTTTTTCATATTTAATAAAAAAATTTTTACATATTATATACATTTTTTTTGCATATTTAACATTTTTTCATGCATATTTTATAATTTTTTCGTGCATATTTGCATGCATATTTTGCCTTTTTTAGCTCCTACAACTTCTGAACCCTATTGATCATTAACTCGAGTTTCTCAATTCTAAAATGACTTCGGTTAAAACCTCTATATACCACATTCAACATTTTATTTTGTGGTGCATAAATCTATAAATCAGGTCTTCTAACTCTAGTAAATGCTACTTACAATTGTCTACGTAAGAGATAATTATTTTCCAAATCTACTCAACAATGAGCTAAAATCAGGTGTGTAATTATTTTATAATTTTTTATAATTTTATTTTCTGGGCGTGTAAAATTTTAGGAAGGCTAATTTTAATATTGTATTATTTTAATATTAATATTTAGGCCGTTAATAAAATAAGTCTATGTATATGAATGTATGTCTGTATGTCTCTAATGCCTTCCTAAACTACTTAATCGATTGTTGAAATTTGGTACAGAAATAGATTAGACCAAGGAGAAGGACATATTGTCTAAATATATATATCTCAAATACGTATGGACCAAATAAGAATCGTCAGGATTTCTTAAATAAGTTTTTATATATAGTTTTAAATGTTATTGTTTTGTGAATGTTCCCAAAAATCAATAATTCAACAATAATTAACAATAATGTATGTAGTTGAAAAAATAAAAGTTATTTCTGTAATTCAATGTAATATAAACTTATGAACATATATTTTGTAGTTATTTGAAATGCATTTGTTTATTGAATTTTAAACATCTGCATAGGTCAAAATGTTAGGTTATGTCTGACTTTTTTCATGAAATTTTACAAAAATCAAATAAACAGTCACCAACAGAACTTTATTTGCCTGAGACGAAATAAATTTTATAAAGACGCTCCAAGATCTATATATTTTCTAACATTTTCACTTATCTCACACGATGTAAAATACTCTTAAAAATTTAATTTTAACCACAAACGTTTATTTAAAAAAAAAAAAAAAAACAAAACTGTATTTACGAAATATAGTTAGAGTCTTTATTCCGTAAAGAAAATATGTCAATGATTTTTATTATTTATTTACCTTTTAATGATAAATTATTAGTTTAAAAGTGAAACGAGGAATGCATTTTTTGTGAGTCTTCGGACACGATTTCAACCAGAAAGAGTGATCCGATCATCACAGTCATAGAATAAAAGTGGAGGTTTCGGTGAATAGTTGGTACTTTGGAGAAGGTAAATTTACTCATTTTCCAATAGCTTTTTTAATATTTACGAAAACTAATCGAAAAGTTACAAAAAAAAAATCAACAATATTTACATAATACAGGTTTTCGAAAAAATTAAATTTTGTTTTATCATAACCAAAATAATAATAATTACAGAACCTTGACATTTTTTGCTTAATATACTTTACACTGGTATAATTTTCCAAATATAATAAATATGTATTTGAAAATGTTAAGCATTCGTAATTTTTTCGTAAAATAAGATAAAATAATTTTGGCCAATCCTGGAAAAATAAAATTAAAAATGTAAAAACAATGTTTCTCGTGCATATCTCTTACTAATAAATAAAAAAAGTTAGCATAATTAAAAAAAAAATAATTTATGATGTTTGAACATTAATTGTTGATAAAACTCAATAAAAATCACAAAAATCTACTACATTTTTAGTTGAAAAAGCTAAAATTTTATTATTAAAAGTTGAAATTTGGATACAAGATTTTTATTTTATATTTTATGTATTCAATTGGCACTTTTTGAGTTTTATCAAATTTTAATCAAAATCGATTATTGTTTACTAATAAGGAGAGAACAAAATTGCATTATTAGTCGTTATGTATCGATACTAAAATTATATTTTGCATATTCGTAGCTATTGGTGATTGAATCTATTTTTCAATTGTTTATAGTCATAGAAGAACCTAGTTGATTTATATGAAGTATTGTATATCATTTTCTAAACTATCATACTAATTGAGCATTCATATCAGATTCGACTGAAATAAATTACTACATTTATTCAGATTTTGATTTCAGTGTTCTTAGTTTTTGTTTTAAAAAAGATAAATCTTTGATACTTTTTTAAGACTACAATTTGAGATTAGGACAGAAAAATATCCTAAAGATGAAGAGTGCACCAGTCGTGTCCAACCTTACTAGCACAGGAGTTGCAGGATACAATAGCAACAGCTATGCCATTGTTTTTCCGGCTTTACCAGCTTTAAAGACATTGGGCAACATAAGGATCAAGCGTCAGAGTGCAGTGTCTGAAAAACGGAATATAGTTAGAACTTCAATTGTAAATGAAGTAATTCATCATGCCATTTTAATAATAATTAATAAGTATCAGAACGATCAACATGGTAACATGTCTTTGCGATTGTAATGTGACCGATGCGTTATCACGATTTTAACCATGTAATCAGTTCAGGGTATTATATTTTATCGAATGTGTCTTCACTTTCAAGATGGATAACATATCCTCTCCACGTACTGCCCAAAGCCCAAACGGTCGCTGTCATCATCGCTTTATTCTCCTATCCATATGGGGAAAAAAACCAAATCATTAGTTTTGCCTAATCGTTTCGCTGTCTTGGCCAACGAAGGGGACAACGAAATTCGACACCTCTAGTAATGTTGCCAATGTAACCAATGGATCTATTTTAAATCTAATTGTTGACCATCTACATGACAATATTAGGGTTCCGACAATCTATGTTAGGAACATTAAAAACTTCACAGCTTTCAAAAATACGTTGATACAAATCATCGATCTTAACAAGTTCACGTGTAACTTATCGTCTTCTTTTTTGATTGTTTGCCTTCGTGGACGTCTACGTTTCAATGTACCTATGGAACACCTAATTTCTACCAGTGCTTATTTTCGCATATTTATGCTACCTACCAACATATTGACCCTATAAGGTTACAATCAGAAATCTGCACCACTTAATTCTCATATCTAATATGTCTGATGGCCTATTAGAATTAGATCTCTCCCTCAAAAGAGTTAATAATAATATTAATAATATCCTATTATCTTATAGCCCTATGA